AAACAATATAAACGTGATATAAGTCAGACAGCACTTTTAAATATTAATAATTAACTATATGTATATATTGATATATGTGTGTGTAATTTTTGAATTAATTAATACGAAATTACTTAAAATTTACTCAATAATTATCACTATGATTCACGATTATAATTAATAAATTGCATTAGCGTACTTCATTGTACGAGTAATGTCATGTGAAGTAAAGTAATGCGTATTGTTAACGAAAATATCAGTTTGACGATTATTCCATATATTCAATTTCTTAATAGATTATACAATAGTCTATGAATCACTTTTATTTAGAAAGAAATAATATTTATATATTTTTAATTTTATTTGCATTTTTAATAGAATTCAATAAACTATTTGCCTTACTAAAATCTAATTTATCATCATAGTTTTATTTTTTAATTTCAAATTTCTTCACACATAAAAGATAATATATAATTATAATGTTTAACTGTATATCCCTAAAATGATATAAGAATACGATAAAATATGAAAGAAGTTTGTATATAAATTATAATTATAAACGTTTAAATACGACATTTTTAAATGAATATTAACGAAAATAAGTCTGTCCTACTATAAGCTTTATTAGATATACTCCATATTTAAAATTAAACAAAACAGGCTGAACTATTTCCTTTAAATAAATAAGAATAAAATAAAATAAAATATTACACATAAATTATAATTCTCATTTACTTTCCAGTGCTTTAGATAATACGGGAATAACACAAAAACAGAAGTTCAAATTTTACATTATAAAAAATAATACACTAAAATGAATAAAACGCATATATAAATTATAATTCTCATCTAGTTTGTTGCATCATATTTATAAAGTGATCTTAATTTCTTATACTGACATGTTACTATTTTTATATAATATTTGAGCTGATTGTTAAATTCATTATTCTATCCGGTGTTAAGCATTTGTGAACTAATTTTTTTTTTATTAAAAGTTAATTATTTATATGAATAGCTCCAATCTTACAAAATTAAATTGATTTCAAAGCCAGGCAAAGATCGGGAAAGGACCTTTGCCTGACTTACGTTCTAGACACGGTTGCCACTTGAAAATTTTTTTCGGTACCAAAATTGGTTTAAAAAGGTACCATTTCTGTAAAAAAAGGTCCAAAATTTTAAAATAGTGCAAAGTTGCATTTATAAAAAAAATTAATTTTAAATATCCACAATAAAGTTGGGTCGTCAAAAATGTACCATTTTGAGTACCAAACGAAAAAAAAAAAAAAAAAAAGTACCAATTTTGGTACTAAAGTACCATAAGTGGCAACCGTGGTTCTAGATTCTATTTCTAACTATAACCTTAAGGTTTTTTTTTTAAGACAAATAATAAATGTTGTCATAAAACACAAATCACAAGCGTCTCCTTCTTTTATTATATTAATTTTTTATAACGAACCCTGGTATACTCACTAAGTTATACCCCAACTATAGAGAAAACCGGAAAGGTCGTTACAAGTGGCGCCCGAGTATAAAAAGATTTAATTTTAAAGTTTGATAGGAATTATTAACAAAAGAATGGTTGTGTGTGCATATAAGGATTTTATAAAATGTACTTTACATATAAAATGTAAAAAAAATTAGACTTAATAGTTTCCTTTAATGAAATAAGAATAAGAAGATAAACTTAGCTATATATTGACATTCTGTCGCCTAAAAACATAGGTATAATAAATAAATAATTGGAGGTATGGCAAAGTAATGTGAAGAAAAGAGAAGTAGAAGTAAAATGATGTTTTTCATCTAATAGATTGTTAATATCTTATAATATACATAGAAAGTAGTAAATGAAGTTAAAGATTTATTAATTAATTTTAGATTAAATTTATAAATTAAATAAAAATAAATATTTTTTAAATAATATTAGTTTTCGAACTCATTTATTGCTAATGAAATCAATAATGGAAATCTCCTAGTTCATCACTTTTTTTAATTTTAATATTTTATAATTTATTTATTAATAATTTATTGTTAATTTCCGCATTTTTATAAATTCAATTTAATTAAAGTTATTCTTTAAATTATATTGAAGATTTGGTTTTTTTTAATCATAACCGATTAACAATTCTCTTGGGCTGCTTTGGTATTGCTTTCGTTTAATTGTCGAATATTGATTAAAAGATATTTATTAAAAAAAAAAAAATAATTGTACCATTAATTATTAATACGAATAATTTCTTTTTTTTTTTTTGTTTTTAATTTTAAACAATTTTTATATTTATTTTTATATTTATGGATGGAATTCTTTTTAATGTGTCAACACAAAGTCAATCAAATATTCTACAAATAAAATATATTAGTTTTAATTTTGGTTATAAAAAAAATATATTATTATTGCAATTTTATATAGTTGTATATATTATAAGATTATAATTTGAAAATATTTTAATTATTATTTAAAATTGGTTCTAGATTAGTTTTATTTTTATTAGTTTTGTCGATATTGATTCCATTATCCTGTACCACTTCTGGTTTTTATAAATAATTTATATTTATAATCTATACTTAATTATTAAAGAATACATATAAATGATATATAAATAATATTATATATTATTTTAAAATTTTAATATAGTAATATTTTTTTTAACATTCATATATTAATGTTGTTGTTGTGATTTGAGTTAGTGCTATTTCTCACTTTTACTCTTTTCTGGCTGGGGGCTTATCCCTGCCCCACACTAAGCTTTAACTACACTAGAATTATTATCATATATTTATCTTTTAACTGATGATGGACCGTAGATCAGCATATGTAATATTTTTGATACGTCAAATAAAACTCAACCTCTTAACGTCAAAATAAATTTAAAATTTAATTTAAAAAGTAAAAAATAAACAATTTTAGTTTATATTTAAAATTTAATATATGTTATAATATATATTTTATGAAACTAGCATTAATAAAAAATGAAAAACTAACTAATTATACACAAAATGTTGTAGTAAGGTGAACTCATTTATAATAATAAAAATTATAAATTAATTTTTTTTTAAATTAATTTTATTAAAATAATTATATAAAAGTATTATGAAATTTTATTATGATTAGTTTTTAGATAAACTTATATATTATATATTATATATAAAACTTATATTACTAATTAAATAGCATAGCTGGTTAACCCAAAATCATTTTCAATAATTATTAACAATTTTTTTAATAAATTTTTTTATTGTTATAGTTAATTTTAAATTAAAGCCTTACTAACTTACATGTAAAATATTTGTAATGCTTTTTTTCTTTAATCATTTATATAAATGATTTAATTTATTTAAATCATGTACATATATTTTTATTGATGACTTGTAAAATTTATTTTCACTAATTTTTTTAAATTAATATAAAATATGTTTTACTTAAATAATTTTTAATTAAAATGCCTATTGAAAACCTGACACTTTTAATTGAAAAATATTAAAATATGAACGATTCGTTAAAAAAGAAAATATTTTTAAATTCACTTTATTTAAATGATATACCAATTTTAATTATTGATACAAAATAATTTTATTTTTATTTATTATTATTAAAATTATTTCAATTTAAAAATTAATGACTTTTAAAATATGCTAATAGAAATAGAAGTTAATGATAGATACAGAACTACTATTATTATTTATTATTAATAAAATTATTTTAATTTTAAAATTAATTATTATAATATATGCTAATAGAAATTTAAAAAATTTGAATTCAGTATATAAATTAAATATTGCAATTTGTGTGTAACATATTGAAAATATTTATTAAAATTTTTTAACAAGGTAATTTTATTGAAATAAAATAAAATAAATAATGGAAGTAAATAACATTTATTTGTATCAAATAATAATTGAAATATTTAAATTTAAATTATTATTGATTTCTCAGAGTAATTATATTTATTTATTTTTAATTAATTAAACAGTTTAAATATTTTTTTTATAAATTTATATTTAATAAATCACTTCAAATAATACTTTATTATAAAACAAATTTTAAAAATTATTTATTTTTAAAAAATTTTAAAGAGCAAATTATATTAAAATTTATTGCTAGTTTTACAATTTTACTAATTTTTATAATAATAATAATTTTTATAATAATTTTCTCTTTAAAACGGGTTAATTGGTTTATAGTTAAATAACACACTTTATAAAAAATTCAGTTTTAAAAGAATTTTTTAATTTAAACCAATATTTTCAGTATATTCTATAGTTATCTTCAGGATTTTTTAGGTACTAATTAGCTCCTTTTAAAAATCGAATTATTATTAACAAATTATTATAACATTAAAACAATAAATATAGTAATTTTTATTTAATTATTATTTTTTATAATTAATTATTACAATGATTATTAAGAAATAATAATTTATTTTTAATATATATATTTGTCGATCTCTTTCTTTGTTTTTTAGTCCACTATTTTTAATACTTTATTTAGTATGTGTATGAACTTATATAACTTATAAAAAAGTTGAATATAACTATTTATTATTTTTTATTGTATATATATTACCGATGTTTTAAGGTTTTTGACACTTTCTCAAGGTAATATAAATCCATTGAACAAAAAGGTACAACTTTATGTTTTAATTTCTTATTTTGTGAATTATTTACATAAATAATTATTATTTCTACTATATTATTTTTTATTTATTTATATCCTTATTATTTAAGTTAAATTGTAATTATTAAATAGTAGTTACATAAATTTTTCTTATTTAATTAATTTATAATTTACATTATAATAATATTAAATTTTTATAAATTATTTAAAATTTAATTTTAATTAGTAACAAATATATATTATTTTTATTTTTTATATATTGAGGATGGAAAGGTAAGTGGATTAATGTCCTCAGAGTTTCTTGTTAAGCAAGTATAAGTAACACCAAAATGTATTTATATATTTTTAATATTGTTTTAATATTTTTTTTTTATTGTAATATAATAATTTTACATTAAAAAATACTAACGTTTATTTAATTCCGCCATTGTCGTTTGCATTTCCACAGATTTCTTAAAACCCATTTTGTAATGACCGTATTTTGAATTTTATTTAAAAGGTGTTAATATTTTAGTTCAAGTTCATCAGTATTTTTTATCACTAAAATTGCTAATATATAACTTAGACTATAAATACTTCTGTTAAGTATTTAGCACATTCCACTTATATTGTCTCCGTTAACTTTTTTTGATGACTGAAGACGTTTTCAACGTCAAGAACAAATGCCAACTGAACTTAAGTTGGGTTGCGGAAAGCACTTATAACGTGTTTCTCTGGTTTGAGCTGATACTTTCAGCTGATTCGTTAACTTTTCTTATAAAATAAATTATAAACAAAATCGAAAAGCTCCACAGAAAGCCGTTCGCTTGACTGGCGAGAGTTGGGGCTTATCGGCGTTCATACCTGGAACTAAAACCACTATCAACACAATGCTTTATCTATCAAAATTTTTAGCATTTGTTGTTAATAATCTGTTGAAATTTTTTTATTGGTCAATCGCCAGATCGTAAAATAATAATTCAACAATTAAGCAATAAATGTTAAGTTTTCATTTACTTTTAATGAAATTTATTTATTGTATTAAACAATTTTTGATTTATGAGCATGCATTGTATGTACACATTAACGACAGTTTAAAGTATCTCAAAGTAATTAATTAAGTGGCATATATGCATAATTACAATCTAAACAAACTTAATAAATATATTTAATCTTTTAAAACCACTGCTGATATTAAATTTAATTCTTTTAAATTCATAAAAATATTTAATTGTTTGCAAAACAAAAAATCTGTGCAATTTCATGAGAAAATTTTTTTAACTCTTGAAAAATATTTACACTTGCTACTTAAATAAACAAATGATTAATTAAAAAACGGTAAAAACCGTTTAATACATACACTACTCATTTAGTTAATAATAGGGTTTAATTGATAATAATATTACAATGCATTTCCACTACATTTGAATTTTTCAAAACAATAAGAACATTATTTTTTATTTGAAGATCTATATCATTGTGGTGACCCAGTTGGCTGTGCATTTATTGAATTTAAAAAGTAAAATTCAATTTCAAATATTTTTAAGTTTTTGTTTTTGATTGATGAGAACGTTTCGATTTTTCTCTCTGTAAAAAGTTGAATAAAAGTTTATTAACATTGAAAATTTTTAGAGTTTTATTAATTAGCAAGGTGAACAGATCATTGCTAAATTGGTGACCCCGACGTGATCTCGAAAAAGTTTAAATTTAGAAATATTAACTTCTGAGCTAAATATCTAATTATCGAGCTGTGATGTCAGTTGCAGACGAAGGTGTAGTAATGGCTTCTGATAGTGGAAGTGTCGTAAACCGTGTAGCAGTGAAGGTGCCACCGTTTTGGCACGAGCGACCGGAGATTTGGTTTGCTCAGATCGAGGCGCAATTTGCAGTAGCTGCCATTACGAGTGACATCACACAGTTCAACACGGTAGTAGCAGCGATTGAGTCAAGTGTTATCGCCGATGTAAGTGATGCAGTGCTTCATCCTCCTGAAACTGGAAGTTACGCTAATTTAAAGGCTTGCATCATAGAGCGGTACAGTGAGAGCGAGCAGCGGAAGATTCAACGGTTGTTGTCAGAAGTTGAACTTGGTGATAGACGCCCAACACAGTTGCTAACGGAGTTGACAGCGTTAGCTAAAGACAAGGTGAGCGATGAGTTCCTTAAGTCTCTTTGGCTGAAGCGTTTGCCACCACAAGTGCGCGCTATTCTGCAGACATCGAACGTGGCACTAGCAGAACTGGCGAAATTAGCAGATCGTATTTGCGAGGCGGGTGATTTTCAACAGATAGCTGTAGCGTCAGCCTCTGATTGTCCAGCCTATTCTGATAATGCTGTGATTTTACGAAGGCTTGAGCAAATCGAACAGCGTCTGAGTCGTTTGGATTTACGTCGTAGTGAGTCGGTGCAAAGTCGATCGTCATCGAGGAGACGTAGGCGAACTCGTTCCCGACCAGGAAGTCATCCAGATTGGTGCTGGTATCACGAAAGGTTTGGTGATAGAGCTAATGCTTGTCGGCAGCCCTGTAGTTTTGTGGCAAGCTCTCATCAGTCAAAAAACTAGGCACTCCTTCTACGTCGTCGAGCCGAGAAGGGGTTAGTGTTCGTATAGCTCGACTTAGTATTAAAGATCCCGCCACGTCGACCGTTTTTCTCATTGATACTGGTGCGGACATATCAGTTTTACCGAAGTCGTTCTGTCGTTGGAAGCAAAGGGCTAACAGTGTTGCGTCAGTTAATTTATATGCCGCTAATGGTACGCCTATTCAAACATTTGGCGAGCGTCGACTGCTTTTGTCTTTGGGTTTGCGTAGAGATTTCCCGTGGACGTTCGTGATTGCGGATGTTAGCTGTCCTATTGTTGGAGCCGACTTCCTTAATCACTATGACTTGTTAGTGGATTTGAAAAGGAAGCGGTTAGTTGATTCGAAGACGACTTTGATGATGAAGGGTAAGGCTGCTGTGTCTCAAGAAGATACTGTGCGTGTGTGTGGTTCAGTTTCAGCTTATGCTGAGCTGGTTAATGAATATCGTGATTTAGGCATTATGAGTGCAAATCGGATGGGTTTAGTTACTAAGGTTGAACATTGCATCGAGACATTTGGTGCGCCGTCATTTGCGCGTCCCCGACGTTTAGTTGGAGCCAAACTTGAAGAAGCCAAGAAGGAATTCCAATTTTTAGTCCAGACAGGGATTTGTCAACCTTCGAAAAGCTGTTGGGCAAGTCCACTTCACATGGTTCGCAAAGGCGATGGAAGTTGGAGACCGTGTGGCGATTATCGCATGCTCAACGCGCAAACTAAACCTGATCGGTATCCGATTCCGTTCATTCATGATGTGACGAGTATTCTTCATGGTAAAACTATGTTTTCGAAGATAGATTTGCAGAAAGCGTATCATCAGATACCGCTTGCACTGGCAGACATTCCGAAGACAGCTATTACAACTCCGTTTGGCCTGTTCGAGTTTCGCTTTATGACTTTCGGTCTCCGTAATGCTGCCCAGACGTTTCAGCGTTTTATGAATGAGACTCTAGGTGATCTTAATTTCGTTTTTGAGTACATCGACGATATTTTAATTGCGTCAAAAGATGAAGCAGAACACAGAATGCATTTGCGACTGGTTTTAGATCGACTTAGAGAAACTGGTTTGACCGTGAATTTTGCCAAGTGTAAGTTCGGCTGTTCCGAGATCGAGTTCCTTGGGCACGTTATTAGTGCAAAGGGTTTACGTCCTCCGGAGAGTAAAGTTCAAGCTGTTCGTGATTTTCCTCTGCCAGCAACGGTTAAACAGCTTAGACAATTCTTAGGCATGGTGAACTTTTATCGGCCGTTTCTGCGTAACGCTGTGCAGAATCAGCAGCGGTTGTTTCATCTTACACCAGGTAACCGCAAGAATGATAAGTCGGTGATTTCTTGGACTCCAGAAGATATAGAGGTTTTTGAGGCTTGCAAGAAGGATCTTGCCCAAGCTACGTTGCTTAACTTCATGGCTCTGGATGCACAATTGACGCTCACGACTGATGCTTCAGACGTTGCGGTGGGTGCTGTTCTCCAACAAGTAGTGAAAGGTGTGACTCAGCCATTGGCATTTTATTCAAAAGGTTTGAGTCCAGCGCAGACTAAGTATAGTGCTTATGATCGTGAGTTGACTGCTATCTATCAAGCTGTCCAGCATTTTAAGTATGCATTAGAGGGACGTGATTTCGTCATTTTTACGGATCACAAACCTTTAACGTTTGCGTTCAGGCAAATAAGTGAGAAGGCATCTCCTCGTCGTGCAAGACAGCTGGAGTTTATTAGTCAGTATTGCACTGATATTCGTCATCTGGCTGGTGCAGATAATACGGTGGCTGACTCTTTGTCTCGGGTTGCTACGGTTCAGTTGGAGGCAAATGTTATTGAGTTAATTGCTGAGGGGCAGAAGACTGATGCAGAGTTGCTCGCTCAGCTGAAGAGCCAGTCTGAAGATGGTGTTGGGTTGAAGAAGTTGAGATTGCCGGATTCGAGTATTGAACTGTACTGTGATGTGTCAGGCAGTCGTGTTCGTCCTTTTGTTCCCGCAAACTGTCGGCAGCTGGTACTCTCAAAACTCCACGGTTTGGCTCATCCTGGTATTCGAGCAACGCGGAAATTGGTGCAGGCTAGGTATGTTTGGCTTGGTTTGGTTAAGGATGTAGCTGTGTTTGTGCGTAGTTGCATTGCGTGTCAGAAGTCCAAGATTCAGCGGCATACTAAAACACCAATTGGTTCGTTTGCTGATATTGATAGTCGGTTCCAGCATGTTCATGTTGACATTGTGGGTCCATTGCCTTTGTCTCAGGGGAAGCGTTATTGTTTGACTTGCGTCGATCGTTTTTCTCGGTGGCCTGTTGCTGTGCCTCTGTCGGGCATTACGGCAGAAGAAGTTGCAGCGGCTTTTATCGACGGTTGGGGGGCAAGTTTTGGTTCTCCGCAGGCTATTACCACTGATTTGGGTCGGCAGTTTGAGTCTGCTGTATTTCGGGAACTGACGAGATTGCTTGGAGTGAAACACTTTCATACCACGGCTTATCATCCTCAAGCAAATGGCATGGTTGAACGTTTCCATAGAACATTGAAGGCAGCCATTCGATGTCATTCCTCAAGTAATTGGACGCAGTCTCTTTCGCTTGTGTTGTTGGGATTGCGAACGACACCGAAACTAGACCTAAATGCTAGTCCTTCAGAGATGTTGTTTGGAAATCCTCTTTGTGTTCCAGGGCAGATGCTTTCGGATTTCAAGCAGAAGTCGTCCGAGACTGATTTTGTGTCGGCGTTGCGAAGGGCTTTAGCTAAGGTTAAATCCGTTGAATCAACAAGACATTGTCATCCATCTGTGTATGTTCCGCGGGACGTTATTAATTGTAAGCACGTTTTTCTTCGAGTGGATCGTGCTCGAGCTCCACTTGAGCAGCCTTACGAAGGTCCATTTGAGGTGCTGAGTCGTAATGAGAAGACGTCTGTTATTGTTTGCCGTGGGAGAGAGGTGACTGTTTCGAATGATAGGTTGAAGGCGGCGTACTTAACGTGTGATGATCTTGAACAGGTTGTTCCAGAAACGCGTCAGCCTTCAGCGTTGTTGAATGGTGATCAGTTAGTGACTTCTGGTGATTGTAGTCGTGAATCCCTGTTGCCGATTCCGAAAGTGACACGAGCTGGTAGAGTAGTGCGTTTCCCAGCAAGGTTAGCGGAATTTCGGGATTAAGAGTGGTGTTGTCGACTTAGTTGTGGTGTCGCGTTGTTGCTAGTACTCCATCGCTAGGAGGGGGTACTGTGGCGACCCAGTTGGCTGTGCATTTATTGAATTTAAAAAGTAAAATTCAATTTCAAATATTTTTAAGTTTTTTGTTTTGATTGAGGAGAACGTTCCGATTTTTCTCTCTGTAAAAAGTTGAATAAAAGTTTATTAACATTGAAAATTTT